ACCTCTCCAACTACTCTTCGTACTTAAGTCCCTTTTTGATTTTTCTCCTATTTCATTTGGATAATCATATTAAGGAAATAAGAATAATGATAATCATCACATGCACAAGGTCAATCAAGACCTTTTTTCTTTTTTTTAGACACGAAATAAGCAACAATTGTTATTTTTATTCATTGATGAAACTTTCAAAACTTTTTAAGTTTATCTATTGTCCTTTTGGATGGCGTTTGGGGTTCAACCTCTTTTATGTTGCCTTTTACCACCTTTTCCTTATTTTGGTGCTACAATTCTATTTTTCTTTCTCTTAGTCAACCATACATGCATGTGAATCAAAAATATGTCAAACTATTAAGCATAATCAAGGAGTACTTCTTAGAATTATGAGTACTATGGTACAAATTTATGCGTTGGACTCGCATCCTTCACAAGAAACTAAAGGTGTTAGGGTAATACCGATTTTATCGGTTTTCCACGGGTTCCTAATCTAAGTCAAACCTCATCAAAATCATATATAATTTCCTAACTAAATTATCAAAATCAAGAACTTTCAAAGAAAAAAATGTATGGCTCAATTTTGGGTTATTTACAATGGTATATGCAATTTTATTGAAATAAACTATCCTAACATAACACAATCACACAAGAAAGAGAAATAAAGGAAATGCAAAGAAAAGATAAAAATACACCCCAAAACTTAAACTGGACATTATTCCCAATGTTCCAATCTAAGTAGGAGAAGTAGAGAGAAAACTCACTAAAACCTCACCGAGGAGGTGGGAAGTGTAACAAGAGATATTGAAGTGACCTTTGATTTTTCTCTCTTCTTTTTTAGTTCTCCTTATTTATTAAAATGATCATGTAAAATTAAAATAGAATAAAATTAATTTAAAAGTGTGGGTTGTCTCCCACAAAGAGCTTTGCTTAACATCATTTTAGCTCGACGGTCTATGAGTGTCACCATGCACTACCCTTTTTTTCTTCTTCTTATGGGATGGTTCGTACTTTGGAACCTGTGGAGGTGGTTTTAGGAGACATGTCTTTATTAATTCAACCTTTTTAACTCCCACCTCAAGGGTAGACCTTTCCCTCTTGACATTAACAATTTCCATGATTTCATGGTCCCCTACCTTAGACTCCACAAATATTTGCGGAAAAGGAATTGGTAGCTTGTAGGAAGGAGGAACAACATAAGGTTATTACTTCTCTACCTCTTTGACAACCTCCTTTTCGGGTGATGTCGGTGAATTTTTCTCAATATCTACTTTTTTCTCACCAAAAATTTCCTCAACCTCTTTATCATTCTCCCTAGAATCTTCAACTTGTTTTCTACTTCTGGTTGGTCCTAGAGGGATTTCTGTAAGTTGGGAGATTTGGGTCTCCAATTCCTTGGTGTGAGTTGCGAGGAACTCAACCATAGTTGTAAGCTTCCTAAGTACCTTACTAGTATGTAGATTTTGTTCTCTAAGCTCTTCATTATAGAGAGTTTGTGTCGCCACAAAAAATTCCATCATAGATTCTAAGTTAGAGTGAGCTTGAGTCGCAATAAAATTCTCCATTATCATTTCAAGGTTGGATGGTTGGAAATTTTGTGGTTCCTCGGTATAGCAGGAGTGTTTATTGTAAATAAAGTTAGGTGATTTCTCCACTCTGGTCTATAGGTATCAGAGTATAGGCTTCTAAGGTTATTATTCATGAAATTGTCCATCTCTCTAATGGATTATCCAATGAAAATTATTTAGAAAATAGGGCTCATAGCATACAACAAAAATAAAAATAAAAAACAATACCTTAGTCTAAACAGCGTTAAAACAAATCTTTGATATCAAAATACTTTCCCGGCAACAGCGCCGAAAACTTGATGGTGTGTGAACCGCAAGTGTACGGTTGGTGTCAAGTAATATAATAAATTCGATCCCACGGAGAAGTTTATGATTACCAAGAATTAATTTAACGATGATTATCTAAGGCGATCGATATTGGTTGGTTTGTTTTAGAGATGATAACGATAATAACTAAAGCATGACATGAGAATTATGTTTTGTCCATCTAGATTTACCTATACTTTTTGTATATGTTTCAAATTAAGGGAAGTTCTTAGGCAATTTTTATGGAAGTAGAAAAATATGTGTGTCACCCACTTTTGTGGCATGTGCAACTAGACGTTTTATATGCACGACTAATACAAGCAAGAGCGTACACTTTTTCACTTGAGTGTCACAATCTTGATTGTTTCTCAATTGAGATTAAGTTGCCTTGTCAGTGGTGCCTCGAACTCAATTGTCTAGCAACTTGCTTTCGGATGCTATTTCATTACCTTTCGATACATGAATGAAATCTATATTCATCTTGCGTTTGCAACACTCATAAACGTGCAAAATATGCTCAAGTTCTAAAATAAACATTGCCTTTAAAATTTCCCTTAACTACTATATAAACTTTCCCTTAACTATTGTCACCCTTTACATTGACGATCCGTTCAATGTATTTGTGCATAAAAACTAGCATCTCCTCAATGAATGAGATTTTTGGTGGAGGCGGTGAAAGGGGTTGTTTGCTAATGTGGGCTCCTTTAAAAATACTTTTATGAGATTTTAGAGTTGGTGAATCCGGAAAAGTTTGTCAACGTGTTCAAAATATGAAGGAGACTGCATCGTTGAATTGTCACTCGATGTAGGTTTGATCTTTTTAGGAGCTCCTTTTATTTTTATTGGTTGAGAGAGTGGTTTCAAGTCTGTGGTTTCCATATATGAAATATTCCCTAATTTCTCTTTGATGTGGAGTTTCATATTGTCATCGGCTTTCAAAAATCTATCTTGTATCACTTTGCATTCGGTCAAGATAGAGATATTCAATTTACCATCTTTCATGACACCATCATCATCATCAAAACTGAGTCTTTTCCAATGAGTGCAAACTTCATCACTTCGTATCGGGCTATCAAATTTAACCTTCTTAAATATAACACAAGCACATGGGAGAACATAGGTTTTCACAAGTGTGCAGCCACACTTTGAGCTATCGGGACCTACATTATCATCTCTTTTGGCTTTGTGAAAAATATAATTCAGAGCTTCTCAAGATATGTTATCGACCAATTGATAATACATATTGTTGTATTTGAACCTGTGTTCCAACACTGTGATGCTACGACCAAATGATATCTGTATCTTATTATGTTGGTTTTGGATCACTTGACACAAATCACCCTTACTAATTCCCAACCAATTCTTCAGAGTAGTATGGACAGACTCAACTAGGTTTGAGAAAAATATCGGGATGCATCATATCTAATGAAAACAAAAACATAAAATACTCAGAAACATCTAAAACTAAAAACAGATTGATGGAAAATGAGAATAGACAGCATTCGAAAATGCTCTTCGGATGAATTCATAGAGAATTCAGAAATATATTTTCGGATACAACGTAACTTTTTTCAACTTTAAAACAAGATTAATGTGATCAACGAGGCTTGAAATAAATGAACTTTACCTTGAATTCCAACTTCTTTTGCTCCCGTTGATTTGATGAAACACAAGAATAAAGTTTTTGAGTGAAAATTTTGATTGAGAATGAAAGAGTTTTTAGAGAAGGGTTTATGGAAAAATGGATAAGGGGTCTGATCATGTGGGTGGTTATTTTTAGCAATTACACATTTGATTTTTTTGGAGATGTATCTCTCGAATAATCTGACATACAAAGATGACAGATTATCAAATTCCCGCTTCAAATATTCGAAGATACATCTCCGAATAATTCACTGGAAACGTAACAAAAAATTTATTACAAACTATGTAACGGAGATGTATCTCAGAAATAAACTTTTCTTTAATTATAGAGTGACGATACGTCTGAAAATTTATTTTCATTCCGATTTTTCATAAAGTTATTTTCAACCTCAAAGAAATTCCCTTTTTAATCATCCACTAGTAAAGTCCATAATCCAAATTACCAAACATGCCCATTGGAGAAGCCCAAAACCACAATACTTGATGTGCTTACCTCAAAGTTTCATGATGACACAATGCACTAATCTACCCCTAGGTTCATTCCTTCTAACTAACACTCCTGTTATTCAGATATCTAGAAGCACTAATGTGCTCACACTCTTTCAAGCTACATGAAGCTTTTTTTTTTTGGTTACATACATGAAGCATATTTAAATCAAATAAGCACTACCTTTTCTCTCATATTCAATTAAGACAACAAATTCATACTTATCCTCTAGCAGTCTCATATATCACATTGATTGAACAGCAACTACATGGAGCATGTAAGAGTCCAACCACTCTATGAATAGAGAACTTACCCTCCTTAAGTATTATCACGCAATTAATTCGGTTACTTGCACAGAATTTTACTTTGGCATCAAAGCTGTTTTTTTGTTGATACACTTCCTCATTTAAAGAAGGAGTCGTACGAGTAACAAGCCAGAAGATTCTCAGCACCACACCAACAAATCGTAACAAATAACATAAAAATCACATCATATATATTCAGATGATATATCCATTAAATTTATAGAGCAACTATACCATGTAAGATTTGCTCCGGAAGAAAAAGGTTTCTGCCAATGATTTTGATATAAAACCATAGAGAAATGCTATAATATAAAATCAAAATAAAGTAATTAATAAATCTTTTAAAAAAAAAAAGGTACTTGGATTATAATTAAGACCAAGAAAAAGCTCCAAACATTTTGTTATATGGAACCAACCATTCATGTACAAATGTAAGTCCTATCTCTACCATAATTTACACTTTAGAAAACATATACATAATTTACACACACAAAACTCCTATTCCCAAACCCATGAATAGAAAGAAATAGAAGAACAAAACCCAAATATAAAAATAAAACAAAGAGTATTCTGTGACACAAACATCACCAGCTTTTCTGGTGGCTATGTTTTCCATATCTCTTATCAGATTCATCACTTGTAGGAGAAAGTAACCCTTCACCAACATAATCCTTTTTCTTCACCAATTTTTCTTTCGAACTATCTTTCAAAATAGGAACTATATACCACACCACACACGTACAAACCGTTGTAAAAGATCTTCCAAAAACAGTCAACAGCAACAAAATCAACATCATCACAACCGGCACATAGCAAAAAGGCCTCTTCAGCATTTCAATCTTCTTCACCGTCTTATCTTTATCCTCAACATCAACACGAAGAAGAGACGATTCCAACCTGTGTAACTCCTTTGTTTCTTCGACATGTTTTTGATCCATCGGTTCTGAGAACGACGTTGTATGTCTTACCTTAACTTGTACTTCACTCTTATGTTTCTTCTGATTGTTGTTTTTCAGTTTAACAACAATCGGAACAAAATCATTGTCGTTTGAATACGCAAAACGAACAAAAGATATATCACGAGGGTTCATTTGTGAGTAAACTTTCTTTCTTCGTTGATCAAGTTCGGATAAAAGCGTGGAGAATTTGTCTAAGCCTCGTGAAGAGTAGGGGTTGGGTTTTCTTTTGGATTTTGATTTGGGAGATGAACATGGTAACTCGAGATCTTCTTGGTGTTGGAAACTGCCGCAAACTAAATGGTTTAACATTTGGAGGAATTTTTTTGATTGAAAGATGAGAGTTGAGAAATGTATTTATTGATGAAATTTGTGTTAGGGACAAGACTTGACTGGATCTAATATTGAAGTAGACGCGTAACTAAGGTCAAGATAAAGGTTTGAAATGTGTGTATGAAAGATTAAATTATTCTATTTAGACTTTGACAATAATGTAAGATGGCGTAGGAAAGTGTTTTGTGGATTAATAAATTAGAGGACATGTTACTTGTGGAAGAGGAAGTTGAATAGGTATAGATAGTCATTGATTAATTAAATTAATGTGGGCAATTATAGTGTGCAGACATATTTTATTGTATGAATAAGTCGTGTGTTCTAGAAGGAAATTGGGTTGATAATTATAGTGAGTGGCGACAAAGGTGGAAGTAATTAATAATGTTTGGTTTGGTTGCAAAAGCGCACACACAAAACGTCTTCTTTTAGTGAATTATGTAATACAGAGAAAAAAATTAAAATTTGGGGCATTCGGAGAATCGAACTCCGGACCTCTCGCACCCAAAGCGAGAATCATACCACTAGACCAAATGCCCTGTTGATTTTAGTTCTGTTTCATATATATATATATATATACTAGTATATAAAAAACAGCATCAAAATTGAGATTTCATGGTCGTAGTTGGTGTGCTGCGGAGATATTGTAAATTCATATGAATTTTTTGATTGTATGTGTGACTCATTTGTTTTAAGTCTTGTTACTTGTTGTGATTATCTCATTTCCATAATCTTAAAATTCGTAATCTAGATTGGACTCAAATAAAAAACTGAGACTAGAGTAAATTTCCTGGATTGTGAGTCTCTGACTTATGAGATATAGATATACTAGAATCAATTCTACAAACTTCATTTTATTAAAATTAATTCTGATCTAAACACACCATAAAATGACAGGTGTGTGTCAAAAAGTTTTCTTGTAATTGTATATTATTTATATTTTTATAGTTTATATAAAATTTGTATAAATACAATAAAAAGAGTTAAAATATAAATATATAAAATTGATGGACGATTTTGGCAAATAAAGTACTTAATTTTTTCAGAAAAACTTAAGATACTAAGAGTATAAGCATTTAAAAAAAATTTATAACATGATAAATTGTTTTTCGTTGATGAAATAATAACGTGACACAATTGGTAGCAAAAGAAATAGTTGAAACAATTTAAATAAACTACTCTATCATATATTAAATAGTGTTTAATTTTTTTAATAATCAACATCAACTAAAAAAGATATATATTACTGAAGAGTTATGGACTTTGATAATTTTATTGAGTTTGAAAATAGGTACTAGTTCATAAAGCATGAAGAGAAACAATTTGAAAAATCAAACAGAAATCAGGCAAGTATCACCTTAAGTCGTTTGACCCAAACCCCATATTCATCATTCATTCCATTTTGTCGAACACGTGCCAAGCACGCCATCCTTAAGGAAGTCGCGACAAAAGATAGGGAAATTGTTCACCTAATAACAGAGGAAAAACTAATCTACTCATACTCTCATAGATTTTGTAGGTAAAGTAGGAGAAATTATTTATTCCTTCTCACGATCCAACCCAAGAGGTCCTCTATATATTATTGGCCAAATGTTTAGAAGATCATTAATTAATTTTACAAAACCTAGTATGCAATGCCTCTTGTAACCATGCATGCAAGTATTCTCACTCCCATTTATTTCACAAGTATAATTGATATCTATCACGGGGTCTCAACAAAACTAACTTATACCACACTCCAACATAATTCTCAACCGCCTCAGCCACCATCTGCAACATGGTGATACAATGAGGTGCAACTACAAGCTAACAATGCTAGTCACGATGATAAGGAAACCTTAATAAAGATGTGAATTGTTATGGACGAGCTACCTTGTTCCATTGAGATGTTGAAGGCGGATGAACTAACCCTCTAGAAGTGGCACCATGAAGATCTCCATGTAGAAGATGAGGTCATGGACCCTCAACCTCTATCAGGTGAGATTTAGGGCGCTCTAGTATTAGAGAACTTCAAACCATCATCACTAATGAAATTTGAAGGGAAGAGTGGCCCTTAATAATACATCGACTTCATGAATAATCAGTTAGCGATCATGGTCGTGTATGACTCATTAAAGTGAAAGTTGTTGTCTAACACTTTCAAGGAGGCGTCTGTGAGGTGATTCATGAACCTCCTCGGGCTCTTAGTAACCAGTTACCATGACCTCTCTAAGAAACAAATTTACCAATTTTCGAAGAGTAAACATAGAATAATGGCACTGTTTGTGTGTGTTTGAGAAAACGTTTAATTTTTTAGTTATGAACTCGCCTCGGTTTTAACCGCGTGTATACGTATCTCCTTGCGAAGAATCAGAGTCTAATTTGTAATTCATTTATGTTTGGTTAATTTTTTATGAATTGTATACAGGGACAGACCCAAGTTGAGGTTTATGTGGGCTAAGGCTCCCACAATACTTTGAATGATATTCAGTTAATACTACATATAACTAGATATCCTATTTAGATATTACTTATATGTACAGAAGTTACTTATTCATTATATTTTTAGAAAATATAATTTTATTAATCATTCATCAAGATTCATAATAATAACAAACAAACATGTGTTTATAATTTTGATAAATTTAAATATTATAGTGAAAATATATCAAATATTTAAAGTTTAAAAAGATAATTTTTAATTATTTTTTTATATAATATAGTTGATAATTGTTGTTAAAAATATGTATTGCCACCACTACTCTAACTTTGTGGGTCTGTCCCTGATTGTGTAAATGCTTTTGAATGATTCTTAGAAATTCGTTCGAGTTTGAAAATTTTGTAGTCGTGGGCGTAGTTCGAAGTTTAATTTGAAAAACAAGTTCACAATCCTTTTTTGAAAATAATGTTGAATTTGAATTAATTTAGTAGAAAAATGTTAGGTTTGATTGGTTAGATGTCTTGAATGCATGATGAAGTTTTGAAAAAAAAAGTTTGAATGATGAAAAATTGTTTGATGAATTGGTAGAAAAAAGGTTAGTATTTTAAAAAAATAGTTAATAAATAATTATTTTTCTTATTATTAGAAACATATTAAATACTTTTAATAATAGTCACATATTTATTTATCAAAATGATTATTTCATGATAAATGAAACAAATATATTAATGCTAAATGATAAAAAAAAATATATGAGAGGAAAAATTGGTAATTATATAATATATAAAAATTAAATAAATAAAACAAATAAATGAATCAAATAAATTAATTAACTAAGTTATTTAAATAAAAACAAGGCAGTGTATTCTTAGTTAATGAGGTAAAACTGGGGGTGCAAATAGTATATGATTTAAGCTCAAAGTTTGTTTGAGGCCCAAAGTCAGGGGGATATAGATTACGTTGAAGAAGTAATTTTGGGGTGTATGGAAAGAAAGGCTCAAGCCCAGGTAATGTTTGATCCTAGTAGCGCTAAGGAGGGTGTTGATTACAATTGAGATAGTAAAAGGAGGGTGTTAATAGAATGGGCTTGGCCCAGATGAATTTGTTTGTGTAACGCGGTGGAAGGACTGACTTGGTTGTTTTATGTTTGATTGCAATTGTGTGGATAGCAAGAGTCGCCCCCGACTTTTCTTTTATCCAAAAGGAAAGGCTGAAAAGAACAGGAAAGACCTTTAGAGATGTTTTCTTGAGTTCGGGGGGTAGATTATGAAAAGGGAAGGTATTAGCACCCTTTTCATCCGTAGTTATCTACGGGCTCTTAGTTTGCTTTCTAGATTACTTGCTTTTGTTTGAAAGTGTGCTTGTGATGTGGGCTTTGAAAGTATTTTGAAAATGTCTTTGTAATGGTTCTCGTTTCTATAAGAACGCGTACAAAGTGTCGTTTCGAAGATAGTTCAAAGATGTGTTTGTGGAATGTGTTTTTTAAAAGTGATTTTGAAAAGGTGTCTTCTTTGTAATGGCTCTCGTTTCTATAAGAATGCGTACAAAGTGCTTATCTTTGGAAAATGTTTCAAGATGAAAGTGTTGGTGTAAAAAGAATTTGTTATTATGAGCAAGCGAGCAACTAGGAGCGAATCTACCTACTCAAAAGGTCTTATATGTTCTTTTCCTCCTCCTTTAGATGTTGTTATCTTACCATTGATTTGGTAAGAAGCCTCGTCGTCGGATGTGAAGGGACAGGCGCGGGTCAACCGTACAGTCATAGAAGGAAACTTGTGAGACGCTTTAGCAATTTTCGTAAGGGACTAGATCGTTTTATAGAAGGCAACATCGAGAGACATCGAGGAACTACGATCTTTTTTTATCGAATGGTCTTTGCTAAAGCGTCCCATATTCGAGGGACATGACTGTTTTTCCGAGGCAACAAGCAAGGTTACCCTAGAGGTGCACGTGTTAAAGTGTGTTCAATTCAAGTTAAATTTGTATTAGATTAGGGTTATCTAGCGATTGTTTTTAAATCTTGCCATACACACCCTAATTACTAGCATTTATACTTGAAAACAATAAACTGCGGAAATGTAAAGGTCCTACGCTATTACACCATTTTAGGGATGGGGTACAAAATTTACAAACGGGGGGTTGCAAGAATTTAAATCCTATTTAACTATTACAATCATATTGAAATGTATAATACAAGAAGAAAAAAGACTTGTTTTGAAAGTGGTTTTTTGTCTTAATGAATTAAAAAAAAATTAATTAATAAAAAGGAAATATTTGTATGTCTTCTTTATGTTAGTAAAAAGATTATTGATATTGAAAATGATGAATAGGGAAAATAATGAGAGATAGAATCAGCGTGCTGCTGCAAGAAAAACAAACGGGATCAGAAGTTCTGATGTCAGGCACGCTGTGACTCAGAAAGAAACGTTAGTGAGAATCAGAAGTTCTGGATTGATACACTTTGAGATCCTGCAAGAAACGTTAGAGGGAAAAGAAATCAGAGGTTATGGGTGGTGTTTAGACAGTAAGCAAAATGTCAGAAGTTCTGGGTCGTATTAAATAG